GCGAAAGTGGTGACCCTTGGAGGAGGGGGTGGCGGGGGAGGGGAGGGTAAAGCAAGCGATAAGGACAAGTGCAAGTGGGGGAATCGGGAAGAGGGATGGGGGTGGACACCGCTCATTCCAGTCGTGTCCGGACTCTGCATCACACGCTCTGCATCAACGCTGTCAAGAATGAGTGGATTCGTAGACGATCATGGTAAGTGTTCCAGTTTCAGACAAACCAATGTGTGCGAAGTGTTTGGGGAGGGCTCCCTGTGGAAAAGTCAACCCTTCCTTGCCAACCGCCCGAGTGGGGATGGGGTGTGGCGTGGGCGCGCCGGGGCTTTCCCTCCCGCGGAATACTGCGGGAGCGCGGACCGCGCCCCCCCCCCCCTTTTGATATGTGCGCCAGGCCAGGAAAAGGGTTGCCTGGACCATGTGTGTCATTCCCCATCTGATGTCGGACTTCCGCGCCTTATCAGATGCTTTGGGTTTGCAGGTGAAGTGATATTGGGGGCCTTGATCCCTTTCATAGGGGAGGTGAGTGTTTGTGACTCAAACCTCTCGAGCCTAGGAGAACCTGAGTTCGACGGTCTGGGTCCAGACGACTCCTGGCGCACTCTCAATGAGAGTGCGTTCCTGGACGACCCACCTGAACCGGGCTTTACTTCGACACCAGCCAGGCCGTCGACGTCGAAAAGACCAGCGAAGCACAGTTCTGCATCAACCAGCAAGAAAGAGTATGAGTTTGTGTGTCCTCAGTGCTCCAAGGGATACATGTCTAAACCTTGGTTTAAGAGGCACTTAGAGATTCACAAGGCTACACCCTTTATCCTGCGTCTTCCTAAGATGACCACCATGGTAGAGGAAAAGGGTGCTTCCCTTGGCATGAGTGTAGTTCGTGACATGTCACAGAACGACTTGGGTTCAAGTGGAAGAGCAGGATTGGGTGTTAGGGAGTATGCCAATAATCTGTGTAGTATTGAAATTGGGAGTAGTGCCCCTTGGGCTGCCTTTGCTAAATTAGTGTCCAATTCAATTTTAAAATTCTTAACTGATGCCAAAGTGATTCTTCCATCAGCAATAGTTCCAGCTGTCGACAAGGGCAAGCAATCCCTGTTAGGCAACTGGACTGCGCGAAAAACATTTAATGATCTTTTACGAAATATTCTTTTTGTTGACAATTACATTTTGAATATGTTCGTTACGGATTTCATTACAGGTCTGTCTGATGAGTTGTGTTGTGAAATCTTAAAGGCAATGCGGAGCACAAGTAATCCACACTCAAAAGTTGTATTTTCCAGGACAGATGAGCTGGCATCAAAGCAAATTGTGCATTATATTAGTGGTTCGGTTATGAATGGTTTCCTGCCAAAGTCCTACTCCAAATCTAAACTTAAAAGATCTGCTAAGATGCAGAGGTATGCCATCACTGTCAGGGAGCGCTTCCGAGAAGGTGGAAGGTTTGTAACTCCATGCAGTGATGATATAAAATGCTGGACGATGCAACAGAATAAGGGAGGTTTAGTTGTTCTTGGCAAGGAGGCCTTTTCTTTTTTCTGGCAACTGGAGTTGTTTTTATTGTCCCAGGACCGCCTAATTGATACACCAAATATTCATTTCAAGATATGGGAAGATGTTATGAAATCCTTGTTTGTGAGAAGTTCCTGGGACAATGTTGTTCGCGACAGTTTAAATCAAACAGATTCACTGGACCTTATGGAGAGAGTTATTCAAAGTTTCACGAATACTCACATAAAGGGTATAACAAAGATGTTAATGAACAAAATTCATGAATTTGCTATGACATCTGTTGCTCTCAGGGCTGGATTGGCCAAACCTTCTTCTTCTACTACAAAAAAAAAACTAGTCATAAAATAAG